TTAGGGCTGTTGTACATAGGGTCGCTATGAGTCGCAAACAACTCAACGGCACATAACAACAACAATAACAACAACAAATTGTTTACATGCTATTAATATATGAATTCTGTGCAGTGGTGATGTGAAGTGTGGGTTACTTCCAGAATGAAATAACGTTTTAACTGTGCTCACTGTAAGAGTAAGGACTAGACTTGTGCTGGCGTAATGGAAGTTAGAGGCCTGGTAACATGAATCTGGTGGTAAAATAATCTTTAAAGAGGCACTGCTCTTCTTTGGAAACTTGGTGGTGAAATGTTACTTGGCAGGCTACTAACCAAAAAGTGGGTGGTTCCATTCCACTAACTCTGTGAGCAAAGATGAGGCAGTTTCCTCTCATGAGGATGTAGTGCCTTGGAAAAGGGGTGGTACTTCGCAATGAGTTGGAATTCACTCACTATCACTGGTATTTGAGTACTGATTTTTATTTTTTTTTAATTTTGTTCCAGTAATAACCGTGGTTAGTATTAACTTCTCAAGGTTTCAAGTCCATGACTAAAATATGATTTAAACTAAGAATACATTGATTTATAATACTCATTTGTTGTTGGTATGAGTACCATTGAGTCTGAATCATACTATCACTGACCCTCCAGTGGGTTTTCAGAGGCTGTAAGTCACATGGGAGAAGACTGCCCATCTTTCTCCCTTGGAGCGGCTGGTGGATCCAAGCCATGTACCTTTGCATTGCTGATGCAATGCCTTACTATTCAGCCACCAGATCTCCCGGAATAGTCAGCTAGAGATCCACAGTCTGGTGAGTCCAGCATACATTTTATGCTGAGTTACTGTTGAAATTATTATTCACTGTTATTATAAAGTAATTGCGGTTGTAAGTAAAAAATGTCCTAAAAATTCTAGAGGAGAGGGGAGAAAGGATTAGCTACTGTGTAGGTCTTAATAATGTGAGTAATGGTGAATGTCAGTCTAAAAAGTGAAATCCGTGGGGGAGCTCTGGTGGCCTAGTGGCAAGAAGCTGCACTGCAATCCCAGAGGAACACGGTTCGAATCCACCAGATGTTCTGCCTGAGAAGGAGGCACAATATCCTCCTGTACCACTCAGATCTGATTTGACGGTACACGCACACAAAATAATAATAAAAAAAAAAAAAAGTGAAATCCAATCCAATTCAGCTAGACCACGGAAAACACAAAGTTACATATTAGTTCTGTCTTAGTAGTTATTACCTGGAAAACAAATGTTGCAGCACTTGCCTTTGGTTCAGAATGCTAGGGTATGTAGCGGGTTGCTATGAGTCGTCTATGACTCAGTGCCACTTAACAACAATAACAACGACAAGATAAGAGAGAGAACTATGTTGGCCTAGTGGACAGAAAGCGATGTTACCAAGCGCAAGGTGGGTGATTTTAATCTGCAGCCCTCAGGCCGAGTTTAAATTGTTGGGGTTTGGTTTTGGTTGTTTGTTTTGTTGTTTTTTTTGTTTTTATTTTTTTTTTTTTGTCAAACATTCTTCTAGGTGGTATATCCCTGGTCTGTGTATTGCTGTACAGAGGTAACTCGTGGTTGCTGTGATGCTGAACACTGTGATACCAATGTGCCAAATGTGAAAATGGTTTGTCCGTGGTGGATGGTGTTTGGTGGAGCTTCCCCATTAAAAGAAGCTTGGAAGCAGGAGTGGCACCCACTTCTGAAATGGCTTGCCTCCGGAAACTCTATGAACTGTGCTCAGGTTTTTCATTCATAGGGTCGCTACGAGTCATCTATGACTCGATGGCGCCTAACAACAACAACAACAACAAAGATATTATACAACATTCCTATCTTCCTTCAATGATTTCAGTATTGTAGAATTTCTGCAACTTTGACACATATTGCAGCATAATTTGTTAAATAGTCTGAAATATCATCCCATTCATCTAGGCTAAACCTCCTCAGTCCTCTTTTGCATTCCACTGTGTATAAGTTAAAAGGCACTCTGGAGGCATAGTACACATCATGTCAAAGTGCTGACCAAAATAGCTGTAGCAATCCACGTGAGAAAGTTATACAGGCTGCTAATAAAAATATTTAAAGCTTGGAAGCACAAAGGAGTGTTGTTAAGAGTATGAACCCAGCTAATAACACTAGGAAGTTGGTTTAGTTATTTCCTAGCATTTCTAGCGTTATGCATTTTTATTTTATTATAGATTTTTGTATGTGTCATTGAGTCAGAATCAATCCATAGTTGACCATTCTGTGGGTTTTCAGAGACAGAAAATTGCATGGGAGGAGATTGATCACCCTTCTTTTATGGAGCAGTTTGTAGATTCAAAAGGCATGCCTTTGAGATTAGA